TGTACATCAGAAAATGCGCCTTGAGGCATGGAACATATGTACCAAATATGCCAAAGATGTCTACAAAATTATCTCAGTTATTATTAAAAAACTGATTATTTTTGAAAACTTTGCCACCCTGTATCTCAAAAGTTAAGGCGTTTAGGACATACGTCCATAGGACGTTTTTTCCTTAAAATGGGTCTAAGAATTACCTCCTTGAATATAAGCATGTGTTTAAGGAACACCCTGTATATTGACGGTGAATATATTTGTCTGCCAAATTGAACACTTCAGATTTGAATTGGGAGGACCAATTTCAATAATGAAGTAAAAATGATTCTTACATTATGAGATTGAATAGATTTAATAGTGCCTGAAGTATAGACTTAGTATAGGTTTCGTTGACAAACTCATTCGTATTTTCATCTCTTTCCTCGCCCTAAAGAGGGATTCTACAATAATTGTACTTCCTCTCACACCTATCGCCATTCTCAGCTACCTCCTCGACGGTGGGAAAAAACTGGAAAGGAATATCCTGCTTCCTAACATACTCTCCACCAGAACTGCTGATCTGCTCCTGCATCCCCTTGATGAAGGGGGTCGATTTGCAGATCAGCAGCTGCATACAACCACTGTCTTCATCCAGGCTCCTCTCAGTCAAGTGCTCGATGACCTTGTCAGCCAACTTGTCGTCTTTCACATCTGCCAAAAGATCAGCGATAGCAGGGTTGCTGAGCACCCAATCTAGAGGAGACTCGTTTTTGATTCCCTTGGACTGGACCAGCTCAGATGGAGGGGTCAGCAAAATCGAAGAGCTTATCAGTTGGGCTACAACGATGATGGCGTTAACCGCAATGGCTCCTATTTTTTTTGGGCTCAGCCCGAACAGTCTGAGGAACCCGGAAAATATGTTGATCGTTTTTACTTCAGGACGGGGTTTCGTGTGGGTTTTTCCAAGAGCGGTGCTGACTAGATTGGCGACTTTGTTGGAGTGGTCGGAGGAGAAGAAGCTACCCGCCATCTTGAAACCTGGAAACAGAGAATATACAATTCAGAAATCAATAAATTGCTGGATGTAGCCATTACTACGTGGTAGGAAATCATAATGAAGAAAAGAGAAATGAAACTTTCTATGGTTTTTACCACTTTTATTTGTAACTAACGTTACTGCAGTTTCGTCCTATACGGACATTTTCAAACTTATACAATAAAGTTTATTGTATACGGACATTTTCAAACTTTGTATATTGTATACGTTTGAAAATGTCCGTATATTCAAACTTATACAAACGGTTTTTTTACCACTTTTATTTGTAAGTAACGTAACTGCAGTTATACAATACAGTTTATTGTGCTTATACAATAAAGTTTATTGTATAAGTTTGAAAATGTCCGTATATTCAAACTTATACAAACGGGCACAAATAAAAGTGGAAAAAGACAAAGAAAGTTTCATTTCTCTTTTCTTCATTTAAAAATCAAATAATTCAGGAATCGGTAAAACAGAAATTGGTGATTCTCGTCTCCAGCGTTACGAGGGTGAACATAATAGAATAGAATAGAATAGAATTTATTCGTCATTAAAAACATTACACACATAATATATAACATTTTATCCGACTAGTCAAAACAGTTGAATATAGTTGATTTAGTAATAAAATTGTAAAGATAAAATCTAAAAGTTATTTTGCAAAAATGTTATTTTGCAGCGACAGTGATGTCTGAAAATTAAAAAATATTATTAACAAAAAATGTACAGAATAAAGAATAGACCAGACAACGAAGAGCCCTGGACGGGCTACGTAGAGACGACACCATCAAGATATTACCTGCAGATAAGGGAAACGCTACTGTTGTGATAGATACCGATCTCTACGAACAGAAGATCGAAGAATTGCTTCAGAAAGGAAAATACACGAAAATCGTAAGAGATCCTACTGCATCAATTGAAAGGAAGTTGTACCAGACTTTGAAAAAACACCAAAGTATATTTTTCGGAAAAGGAAAGATCATCGCTAACTACACATCACAGTAAGCCCCCTCACCTATATGGACTACCCAAAATCCCCAAAAAACATGTTCCGCTTAGACAGATCATCAGTTTCAGAGATACAGCTATTCAAAATTTGCCCAGATTTTCAATTCCAACAATACAGTCACTACAAGAAAAACTCTATTTTTTATGAAGAATATGAGGCATTTCGTCGAATTAATAGTAGCAATGAAAGTCACAGAACAAGTAAAATCAGGTGGTTTGGAACTCCGGCCATTGAAGAAGATCAAAAGTCTGGTTCAGATACGTTGGTAGCACTTTTATAGTATGGAACCATGGGAATACAGAACTAAACACCTTTCTGTTCAACAGCTTAAGACCTTCCATCACCTCACCAATGGAGAAGGAAATCAACAACGAATTGCCATTCTCAGACGTATTAGTGAAGAAACCCACTCAAATGAGACAGTAATCACGAATTCAACTACAATCAATCTACCAAAATNAAAATCCCAAGAATTGGCCAGGGTCGTATTCAGAACCAACATCTTGATTGCAAATGCTATATCATACTTGGGAAATTTTTTTTTTAATAACGAGTGAAATGCACTGGATTGCTCGAAAAACTGTATGACCGGTATAATCGTTGTATCGCTCTCGAAGTAAACTATATTGAATAGTAAAATCAAATATTATTAAAAAAAATGCTATTAGCCTACGAACTTTTCAGCCCAGCTATACATATCACTTTCGGAATCCGAGAATTGCGCGAATATTTCTCATGTTCAGTTACCGATGAAAAATATTGAAATAAAAACTATACCTACCTGAGACATCAAATAAAACCATCGCCTTCTTGCTAAGCCTCATAAAAATAATTCTTCTGTCAGGATAACTTCTCATGTGGATATTAATGGGCCTGATACAACTTTTATCAATAATATTCAATAAACATGGCAAAGAGAAATACGCTGGGCAACCAAAGATAGGGACTTGAAAATGCTTGATGATTTTTTCTGCAATTGCTTGTCGTGTCAAGATTAAGAATTACGGCAAATACTCGTAGAGTAACTACTTGTTGGGATAGAGTACCTATACAGTTCAGGTTAACAAAAATATTTGCAGATCTATTGAAAGCACACATCGAAAAGATACGTGCTTTTGGAGGTATTACTAAACATCTTCACAGTGGACGGATACTTTGGGCAACAATTGAAAGAATGTTGAAAAATGGCACAAAAAATGAGACCTGAAACATGAACCATAAATTAGCGGGCAAGCCAATACGACGTATTATTTTATACAACTTACTAAAGTTCATGCATACAAGACATGTAAACTAATTATTCGGTCAAATGAGAACAAAAAATAGGAGCAAAACTACAAACGTTCGCACTCAGCTTAAATTTGGTAGGATTGTTCAAAACACTATCATAAATGAAATCTAAAAAATCCTCATCGATCCAACACCTGGAGAAACATTTACGCGGGGTCAAAGGACACAAAAACCGGGTTTTCGAGATCTTCAACAAAACGGTCATTAAATTTGCCTTGTACTTGGCATAAAACAAGTCAATGAAGGGAACCGTATGAACATCTGGGAAAACCTAAACATCCATAAATTCAAAAGTCATAATTCACTTATCGAGGGATAAATACAAATCAAAACACAACAAGACCTAAAATTCAGTATACTCCACAAAACAATACACATTCCTAGAAACAATGAACCTAGAGAAACACTAACATTAAGGATATTACCTAATATAACCCATGTATAGGCCAATTTAATGAGACATCCGGATGAAAGGGGAGGACAAATACCTAGCCAAGCCCTAATTAATGAACCATCAACAACAATAACAAATCCACTAAGGCGATCTAACCGTATAAAAGAACAAACAAGAAGGTAAAACGTTCAGTTTGAGTAGAGCCAAGAAGATATCGAAAGCGCTCGCATATAATAATACAAAGTTATTGAAGTTTCAAATCCTTTTTGTAAATATCAAATATTTATTCATTTACTAGATGTTTTTTATTAATTATTCTCCAGTTTAATGAGTTGTTCCTAGAAAGGTAAATAGTTTAGGTCATGAATTTATCATGTAGAAATTGGCCAGGTAGTAATAGTGATTAGGATTCGAATCATTATAAAAGCATGACACAGAATTGGTTTAATCAGTACTGTGACGCCTGAGGATGTTGTTGTATAGCGAAACACGTGTCGTGGTTTTGTGAACTGTCAAGTGGAAATCTCACATAAAAGTGTTTTTTTGAATAAGTTAGCTCTTTTCCTCAATAGGGCCCTAACTTTTTTCTCCGAGCCTGCCCCAGTGAAAAGCTATTCGCTCACTGAAAAGGCAGAGTTATTTAGTGAATGGTATGACACGGTGTGACCGCGAGACGGTGATGTTCTGATTAATGTCCTCACTCGTAATGGTCACATGCTAATATGCCCATGTTATTAGTATGTAATAAAGTATATAGTTATTCATTCGGGCAGTAATTCTCGCTCCGGGGGGCTGAGACTGCCTGCTGCTAAACCTCACCTTTAATGGTATTATTTATGTCGAAGCCCGGCCTCTCAGCGAAGACCCCGTACAGGGTGTGTCGTGAAGAGCGTGCCCTATTCAAGAGCGGTTAAATATTGCTCAAGGGGCATCTGCGAAGCGGAGAGATCCAGTACTTCATTTATCTCGTAAATGATTTTATTTCCGCCTTAATCGCAAGTAGCTAATGGCCGCTGGGTTTTGAGAGAAAAATACCAGTATGGATAGCCTGGAGGGGATTTGCCAACACGAGAAGATGTGGTTAAACAGGAAACTGGTTCAATTTAATGTTCTACTATCGCTGCAATTGACGATAAATTTATACAGAGGCACATAATTTGGGCTACTTACTCAGTAATGACTGTATACATTTTTCAAGGAGTAAAATAGGGAAAAAGGCAACTTTATCTTGGATGTTCAAATACAAA